TTCTATTAATAAAGCAGACGCCAAGGACGTTATTCAAACAGATTTTAGGTTATAGTTTCTTAGTTATTTTTAGTTAGTCTCCTTTTCTTTCTTCATTCTATTTATTTAATATTAATATATTCTGATTATTTACCAATTTTTTTTCCATTTCATCTCAATTTTTTTCCTTTTTCCTCAATCTTTTTTTCATTTCATCTCGATTTTCTTTTCATTTTATTTCAAGTTTTTTTTCATTTTTTTGTAGTATTTCTTAGTTTTCAATAAAATTTAAAAAACAATCGATACTTTTTGTCTATAATCTAAAACGCACATAGCGCAAGATAGAGAAAGAAGAATAAGTATAAAAAAGAAATAAAAGAAACAAAAGCAAGGATAAAAACGAAATAAAAGAAACAAAAACAAGAATAAAAAAGAAATAAAAGAAACAAAAGCAAGGATAAAAAAGAAATAAAAGAAACAAAAACAAGAATAAAAAAGAAATAAAAAAGAAATAAAAGAAATAAAACCAAGGATAAAAACGAAATAAAAGCAAGGATAAAAACGAAATAAAAGCAAGGATAAAAACGAAATAAAAGCAAGGATAAAAAAGAAATAAAAGAAACAAAAAAAAGAATAAAAAACTGCGGACTGAGTACCATATCAACATTGTATTAAACGTTTTTTGCTCAAGCCGACGGCTAGAAAAAGAAAAAAAGTAGTATATACCACTGTATTGATATACGACGATTTACATGGCTTTCATGAAGACACTGGCTGTTACGCATTCAAGAATTCTTTTATTTTATGGGAAAGTTTTAGAAGAGCTGCTTCTACATGAGAGGAATGAGACATCGTCTTTTTGAATTGTGATTACTAGATTTTTTTTTTCGATTGTCTTCATCACTCCTCTATAAATAACATACTTGAGATAGAGAATATGAAAAGCTACGCAATTTTTATTTATAAAATAGTGAGCTGTTTGATTCATGTGAAATAGATATAACTCTTGTTGGTCATAATACGTCGTTGAAAAAGAGAGCGAGAGAGAGAGAGCAGATTATTTTGGTAAGCTCGATTACTCATCGAATGGCTTGTGTATGAGCTTAGACCAACAACTATAATTAGTATTGATTATTAGTGCTGGATAGAGAGAAAAAGTGAGAGAACAGCCCTAAATGTAATGTTTGTATGTAGTGTTGGTAAACAATCTAACATGTGATGTTTAGAACGCATCAGCCATCAATATAGAAAAAGCAAGGCGTGAATAGTAAGAATAAAAATAAAGGACGGAAAATTTACATATCGAAAATCTATCGATGCTACGCACATCAAGTTTTATTCAACTCCATCACAATTCAAGACAATTGACTGAGAAAGAAAAGATAGAAAGAGAACGAAGATGAATAGGCAAAGGTTGGAAGAAGCTTGAATGTTTCAAATAAAGATAAAAGTCGTTATAATGCATAAATTTTCCTCTTCTACAATAATCGAACAATGTTTTGGCTCACTCGAACTATACATTTTGTAGTAGATGAAATAAAAAAGTTGTCATCTTTTTTTTTTTACAAATCCATAGTAATGGTGATACGGTTGACTAAAATTCAGGTTTAGAGATCAGTTGAAAAACATTGAAAACAAGCTCTATATTGTTTTTCTTGCAAAGAATAGTCATAGTAGAAGAAAATTTGCTTAGATGATTCTAATGATGAGATTGATTAGCTTTGTTCTTTCATTTATTTAATGCTCAAATCACAACAAATTCAGATAAAAACAAATAAATTTCACTTTTATTTCGATATTTCGAAGACATAATTTATTTTTTCTATTATAACATATGAAATTCATTGTATCTATGTAAAACTTATGATTTTAATGAAACTTTGAAGAGCATAATGATGTTTTAGTTTATTATTATTATTCTTTTTGTTGAATAAAACTTCGATATTGTAGAAAATGAAGCCGTTATTATCGATGAAAAAAAAACATGTACATATCGATTTATTCTCTATACACACATGTAGGTAACACGAGAAGGAAAAGAAAAAGAAATGAGACAAAAAAAAGAAAAATCAAAACCAAATTAAATAGAGCTTAAAAAGATTAATATTACAGTACGAGAAGATAATTTAACAACAAAAGATAATCTAACTTAACAGAACAAGATACGTACACACATGTGATATCAATAAAAGAAATTTAGTATTGATATCTTTGATATAATATGTATTAGAGTTGTTGATGATGTTTGTTTTGTGCTGAACGAACAAAGTTATCGGTCGACTTGTGCATGTACTTTTTCTGTTTCTTTTTCTCCTTTTTGTCTTTCTGTTCTTCTTCATGATGTTAAAAGGGAACAAAAGAGGGAAAGAGAGAGCCCATTATAATGATAGGTAGCAAGTATATGATAAAAGCAAATAATAAGTGACTCACACATGTGCAACTTGTGTCCAATATGAATAAGAGAGAAAAAGACAAAATAAAGATCTACTTCTGTCTTCGTTTGCCTACTCACACATATTATGAGGATCACAGAAGTTCTAAAATTATTTTAAAACTCATCATTTTTACATAGAACAAAAGCATATTTTTCGAAACTTGGATAAATTATTCTATCTACTGTCGGTTCCAGAAGTAAATGGAGAAAATTCTAGGAGGAATATCTCCCGAACGGATGCAGCTAACGACCTGCGGTTTTCACCAACCGAAAGAGGAGGAGTGGGGACGTCTTTTTCTCCAATAATGTATAAGACGAAATCTTTTTAAAACTAATCATATTCGAAGAACATTCAAAAGAATACATGAAAATGACCTGCCAGCTAAATGAAGTTTTGATTTTGACCTTTGATTTTGATAGAGAAAGTTGAGATCTATAAATCCAGACACAATGCGCTTTCTTACTTTTTCCTACATTTTCATCAAAATCTTAAGCTAGCATGATAAAAAGTGCGAAAACTTAGTAAAAAATTAGCAAAATTCCCTATTATTTTCGCATGTAAGTACATGATTCCATTTGCTCAACGTTAGAATGTAACAAGACAACCATTTGCGTTGTATTTGGAGCTATAGATCTCAAGTTCCTCTATCTAAATTAAAAGTCAAAATCAAAACTTTATCTAGCTGGCAGGTCATTTTCATGGGTTCTTTTGAATGTTCTTTGAATATGATTAGTTTTAAAAGGATTTCGTCTTATACATTATTGGAGAAAAAGACGTCCCCACTCCTCCTCTTTCGATTGGTGAAAAACGCAGGTCGTTAGCTGCATCCGTTCGGGAGATATTCCTCCTAGAGTTTTCTCCATTTACTTCTGGAACCGACAGTACTTAGTACTAAAATAACTATGAAGCTTAATACTAGTCCCTTCTACTATGACAAAGAAACTATAGCAACATTATCATGTTTTATTTTATCGTTTATTATATAGTTATATCATGATGAAAATGTATTACAATGAATCACTCAATGGAATAAATTTAAAAAATTGAACTAAGTATGAAAGGATGTAAAATAAAATAAATGTATGACATTTCGATGTTTTTTCCTTGTAACTGCATCAGATAGGTATTGAACAATTAAATACAATGATGATAAATAATTTAACTATTTTTTCATTCATATAAAATCAATGAAAGTAAAACAAAAAAAAATAAATTTTTCTTTTTTGTCATTCATGCGTAAGTTTATATTTAAAGAAACCGAAGCAATAATAACAAGTAAAGAGATTAAAGAAATAAACAAAAATGACGAAAGAAGTATATCGAACCATAAACATAGTTAGAAGAGAACATAAAAGGAAAAAAAAGAGAAATGTATTAATTGTAGAGATTATACAGAAAAGTAATTGTACTCATTATGAGACAGTATGTACATTACTTTGTTCATTTTATTATTGACAAAAAATCGATCACGTTTTAGTGTTGTTTATTTGTTAAAATGCATACAAGACGGTCATAGTTGTATCTAAATGGAAAGAGAAAAAATGAATGAAATTATTCAAAAAAAAGACTTCTAGCTAGTTAGATACAAACTATTCATCAGCATCAATATGAGGTTTACGTGTTAATTCATCAACTTCGTCTTCTTCTGTAAGTTATTCATTCAATCAAATCATAGGATGCTTCAATTTAGTAACACGAACACAAACAATACCATATTTATCAAATAAATAACATGTTTCAAGTATATCATCTTCTACATAGGTTTTTTTTTTTTTTTTGGAGGCAAAAGCTTTATTGATGTTAAATAATGACAATACATAAAATAAAAAGACAACGGAGAATAACGAATTGTATTGTCATTGAAAGCTGGAAGCAAAAGAAAGAGACACATGACATTCGTCTTTCGTCTCGAAGATTTGTTTGTTGAGATGGTTGTGGTTTGGATTCTGTGTAGGTAAAGATATGATGATGAGTAGAGACCGGTGTTGTATCGAAGAATAAGCAAAATGATTTTCCAACTTCGTATTGAATATGAAGTGGAAAAGAGAGAAAATGAAGTTGTATAATAATATAGAAAGAATAAGCAACATGTTTGTCCATTTCATATTAAATATGAAATGAGACGTAAAGAAAATGAAATTACATGATAAAATAGAAATAATTAGCAAAATAATTTTCCAACTTCATATTTAGTATGAAGTGGAAAGACGAGAAAAGAAGGTACAAAATAAAGTGAAAAGAGTATTGTAATGGATTTCTCCAACTTCATATACAATATTAAGTGGAGAGGCAAGAAAAATGAAATAACATAATAAAATAATAACAATAAGCAAAATGATTTTTCCATCTTCATATATAATATGGAATGGAAAGGAAGAAAATGAAATGACTGGTTTGCAAGAACACGAATAAGCAAATAGATTTTTCTAGCTTCATATTGAGTATGAAAAATGACAGAAAAAAAAATAAAATAGCTGATTCAGGTACCCGAGTCCGATATATCAATTTCCATACAGATTTCATCGACTCATCAGTAGTCTACTTTATCGATGTTGATATTATAGTAAGAGGTAGGTGGTGTGTTTTTTAAATTTGGTTAAATATGTCTTGTAGATAATTTTTCAGTATAGTATCATTATTTGATGTTGCTGTTTGAATTGACTTTTGAAGTAATCCAATTGCATAATCCTTGATCTTGGGGACGTTGCTGATCTTGTGTATGTATTCTACCGATGTGTAAATTGGTAGACCTAGTGCAGCTCGAAGTGCTTTGTTTTGCATGATCTGCAGTCGGTTCCATATTTTTTGATCAGTAGTCAGTAGAACAGGATAACCATAAATAATGATTGTGCGTACAATTGATTTGAAAATGTTTATCATCGTCTTGTTGTTGGGTTCATATGCTATTCTCGATAAATATCGAAGAAGACCGATCCGAGGAGCAATCTTAGCTTCAATATGATCGAGATGACTTCGCCATTTTAGTCCTTTGTCTATAATTACACCCAAGTATCTTGTGTGATTCAGTGGTTGAATAATGGTGTTTTCAACAGTTACTTCCACTGGATGCTTGTACTTCTTTCTTGGATGTAAGCTGAAGTGAATCAGCTCTGTTTTTGTTGGTTGCAGTTTTAATTTCCATGACTTGCACCAACTTTCAAATGCATCTATGGATTGCTGTAATCTGGATGTAAGAATTGTCATGGTGTTGCCGGATGTCCATAGAGCAGTATCATCGGCGAATAGCCCATGTTCTGTGTGGGTCGGTATTCCATTCATCGAATCTGCCGTATATATAATATAGAGTAATGGTGATAACGGAGATCCTTGTGGAGTACCGCTCTTTAAAATGATTGGACGAGATAAAACATTTTCTATTTCAATTGTAGCAGTTCTATTTTGTAAGAATGACAACAGATAATTAATGATATAACGAGGAAGACGATAATCATTTAGTTTGTATATCAGACCATCGTGCCATACTGAATCAAATGCAGCTTTGATGTCAAATAGAATGACAGCTGAGTGACGTCTTCGACGAGGTCGTCTTAGTTGTCCTTCAGCATATCGTTCTAATCGCACGATGTTGTATACTGTGCTTTTTCCTTGTCTGAAGCCAGCTTGATGCTGTGGTAAAATGTTTCGTCGTTCAATTTCAAGCACTAGACGTTGTTTAATTATTTTCTCCAGTAGTTTGCCTAAGCAACTAAGGAGACTAATTGGCCGATAGCTAGACGGATGTTGTTTGTCCTTCTTCGGTTTCAATAGAAGTATAATATGTGCTGTTTTCCACTTTGATGGAATATAACCGTACTTCAGAATTAAGTTGAACAAGTTGGTTAAAAGTTTAATCAGTAATTCTGAAGCATTCTTTAAACATCTGTTGTGGATGTTGTCTGGACCAGTGGAGCTGTTTCGAAGTTGTTTAATGTGAAATTTAACTTCTTTTGGTGTAATTTGCTTCCACTTGGTTGCTTTTGATGAGGTCATGTTTCCATTCTTGATGTTGTCTGTTTGGCGTGTAACTTGATCATGAAATGGTAGCGAATCAGCAGTAAGAGAGTAGACTTCATTTTCGAAATAATCGGCAAATAGGTCTGCTCTCTCCTTATCTGATGTTGCTGTTGTATTATTGTATTTCATGATGCTTGAAAGAGTTTGTTTGATTCGTTTGTTGTGAAACTTACGAACCGTCAGCCAAACTTTATCCGAATACATTTTCTTTTGACATAGTGATGACATTAACTTGTTTAAGTTGTCTTTTCTGTCATTTCTAAGTGAATTGGTTAGTAAGACTTTGAAGTTGTAATATTGATGTTTATCTAAGTGATTTCCAGTCTTCTTCCATCTTCGATATGCTTGATGTTTTAATTTGATCAAGTTCTTCGATGCTTCACTTATCATAGGTCTCGTATTCGTTTGTTTGGACAGTGGAATAGCTTCTCGTGTTGCTATTAATATAGAATTAGTAATAAACGACGTATATTCTTCTATATCTAGTGCTGAATCTAAACGACGATCATTGTTCCATAGCATCAGTTGTTGATCTAATTTGCTTCTAAATTTTGCCCATTTAGCTGCTTTGAAATTAAATGACATTCTTGGAGATAGTGGTTTTGGTTCAGCTCCAATAGAGATGTCGAAGGTTAATGGTTTGTGTCCGCATGATGTACCAATTGGTGAATGTGTTTCAACATTTGATGTGAAAGATAGAAGTGGCTGACTGCCTAAAAGCCAGTCAAGCTTAACTTCATAGTCATTCTTTTCAAATGTTGGAATATCATCATCGACACCTTCAATAAGGCCTTCTTTAAATAATTCTTGCAACTGTCTTCCTCTTGCATTGGCCTTGGCTGATCCCATGTGATGTAGTGTTGCATTAAGATCACCTACAATAATGCAGTTGTTATTAATGTTGTACAATTCTTTGAAGATATTAAGATCCATCTTTGCTGTTGGTGGCACATAGATGGAGGCTATCAATATCGACTTGAATAATTGTGTATCAACTTCAACTGCAATTATTTCGTTCTTGTTTGATGTTTTGTTAAGTATTTCTCGACATTTGATGTATTGTTTCACAGCTAGTAAGACTCCACCACCAAGTTTTCCTACTCGATCATTTCTGAAAATGTTATAACCCATCAGAGAGAACTTGCGTTCACTCTTTAGATTAGTTTCATTAACAGAGATGATGTCATAATTGGAGAATCTGGCTAGGAGTTCTTCTTTGTGTCTTGTGATTGAGTTGATGTTAATGTGACATATACTAATCGTCATTATTGCTTGTTTTGAGGTCTTTGTTGTCAAATGTCGATGCATCTAATGAACGGTTTGGAGAGCGAGCTCTCTTGGTCGAATTTGTTGGGTCTTTTTGTTTTCGTGATGGTTTAGATGTGGCTATGATCGAGGTTGTTGTTGGTTTAGCTGAGGCATTAGTCGATGGATTAGTTGGTTTGGCTGCTTCTTCATTTTGCTTTTGTTTGTTCTTGATATACTTAACTACTGGACCTTCTTCGTTTGAATCAGAATCAGAGACAGTTAAGGCGTCTTGATCGTCTTCATTATTGTCGTGGGTGCCGATTGCTTTTTCGATTTTCTTAATCTTTTGTTGTAATGCTTTGAATAGTCGATTAGTTGTTTCTACGATGATGGTTTCCATTTTACTACTAAGAGCATTAAGAATATCATTAAATAGACTATTTTGTAGAATATCTTTTTGCTGTGGATGAACGACTGGTAATGGTGGAAATTCTGTGGTGCTATAGATTGCTGGGGTTGCTGCTACTGGTTTGCTTGTTGTGGAATATTGGTAAATCAGATTTAACATTCTTTTTTCTTGTTCTCTATAATACGAACAATCATTTGAAGTAGCTAGATGATTACCTTTACAATTACAACATTTAACTACATCATTTGCAACAGTACATTGATCCTTGCTATGATTTTCACCACATCGAGCACATACTTGTTGTTTTGTTTTACAGTATTTTGCTATATGATTGTATTTCAGACAAATGTAGCATTGCACCGGTTTCGTATTTTGTGTTGATGGCTCAGCAGTAAAATGCATGCAATCGACTTGTAGACCGGTATGCACAAATGCGTTTCTGTTTTGTGGATCATTGAATGTAATTTTGATTGTCTTGGTCGGCATGTTCGTAGCTTTATTTGATAGCCGAACAACATCGAGTCCTACGTCCTTCAATGCTTCAGTTATTCGACTTTCAGGAATTTCTATGTCGACGTTTTTAACAAACGCAACTTTTTCCGTATCCTTGATACGTTGAATGGATCGAGGCACATATATTTTTGCTGTAGCCTGACCGTTTGTTGCAAGAATTGGTGTCAACTCATTTAATAGTCGATTAAATGATTTGACATTAGCTGCATATATTGTGAAAATTCCTGATCGACTTAGCTGAATATCGGAAATTCGTAAGTCCTTTAACTGCTGTTTGATGACGTCATTTAATTGCAGCTTGTTTAACTTCACGCCCTCTAGAATTAGAGGGACGATGCTAAAATTTGATTGCTTGTTAAATCCTGCCTTTGTTCCTGCAGAATCCTTTGTTCTTGGACTATGACTCATCGCCATTGTTCCTCGAACATCAGATACTGCTGTTTGACCATCTTGTGCAATAACAGAATTAACACAATTTTGCCTTTGTTTATTTGCACCTGTTCCTCCTTTTTTTGGAGGCATAATTAAGATACACCTGATGTACAACACCTGGAGATAATTACCTTAATTAATTGTTTCAAAAATAATTTGAAAATTGGAAGTAAAATGAGTTAATAATAAAAAATGTAATCGACGAGTTAAACAAAGAAAATGTACGTAACCGACAAGATAGAATGCGACCTATCTCGACCGTGAAAAATAACGAATGATGTCTACATAGGTTAGTCAATGAGTTCTCGGACTTTCAAAAATTTATTCATAGAAAAAAAAAAAAAAAAACATTTCGCTAATCTTTTTACAGTAAATATTCAAAGTAGTCCCCGCGATGTTTAATACAAAGTTTCACCCTTTCAATCCACTTCTGGAATGTCTTTCGATATTCTTGAATAGATATTGATTTGAGCTCGTTGGTTACTGCTTTAGCTAAACCTGTAGCATCTGGATATATATAAAGACTGCGTTTCAGACAACCGAACAACCAAAAGTCTGAAGGAGCACGGTCAGATGAGTATAGTGGATGAGCCATAACTCTCATTTTTTCCTCTTGAGGATAATAAAGATTGAGAACAATATCTTGAATATGTGATTTCGCAATTTTATAATGCAAACTTATGCTACATGTTTTTGATGATGTTTTTTTCTTATGTAAATTTTTGACTGAAATCTGCAAGTATTCATCACGATAGTTTATATGATAACTGTGTCTGAGCTGATAGTAACATAATCAATACTAATATGTGGATCATCATTCACCAGATCCTGGACCGCATTAATATTTTGTTTGGTATTGACGATTATTGGGCGACCATTACGAGGATTATCTTCCAACGACTCTCGTTCACTTCAGAATCGATCAATCCAATGAGCAACTGTACTATATGAAACAACACCTTGTCCATAAGCAGCCATTAATTCATCGTGAATTTGTGTAGTATTTAAACCTAATAACCAACGAGTTTTCATATATGAGCGAATACAAAGCTTATCCATCTGAAAACAGAGGTGTTGAAAAAGTTGATTAAAAATTTGTCATAATAGACACTTGTGAAACTTCATATTGGCATTTTAACACATAACAGATGTCACTACTAGAATAGGTCAACATCAGGAATAAAATCAATCAGGACGAAATTTTAGAGTACTATTACGAGAAATTTTTGACTACCCTATGTATTTCTTTATTATTTGCTTTTTTGTTGAATTTCTTGTAAATCAGCTTCTAATGATGATAAAACATATGAAGGAGAAATAATACTTAAGCCCCCCCCCCCCCTTCAAAAAAAGTCAATTTTCGTGAGAACTGTCAAAATTGAGATAAATACATAGGAAAATAGCCCGTCGTCTGCTCTTTCAAAATCAATCAAAATTTTCCCTAGAACCTCCATTTTTTCCCGAAATATGTCAGAATTTCAGAGAACCAGTTTTTGAAAAACCAGCGGTTTTTGAAATATCCAAAAATCTTCTTCGTTTTTTCTCATTTTTCGCTTTCTCGTACGGGCATCCCAAATTTCTCTTTCATGGTTTGTCCAATATATTAAAAATTTTTTTTCGTTGGAAAGAGCATGTCAAGACGCAGGGCAGTACGTCGCCCTTTTTTTGAAATACCCCTTTTCTTTAGTCAATATAAAGTCAGTAATATAATTTCATTACCATTTTTTGATAAATTTTTTAGTCATTGAATTTGTAACTTCTTTTCCGATTAAAAAGGAGGTATTTCAAAAAAAGGACAACGTACTGCCCTGCATCTTGACATGCTCTTTCCAACGAGAAAAAATTAATATATTGGACGAACCATTAGAGAGAAATTTGGGTTGCCAAATTAGCTATTTTTCGACCTTGTTTGGTGAATATCTCCCTTAAATGAAATAGTTTTGAGCTGAAAATTTTATCATAGACTCCCCTTAATGCCCCCAGCATATCCTCAAAATTTCAGCTCATTCTAACGTTCCTGGGTCAAGATCGATTTTTGAGGGGGGGGGGGGGGGCTTAAAATTGATAAAAACTATTTCCATTTTTTTTACCAAAATAAAACAAACATTTTCATATCGAGTTGTTACGCTGCAATCATATATACCTTATGATCTTTATTAAAAGGTGAAAATGCTTCATGATGTAAACGCATTTTATTGAAACCACTGGATCTTCTTTGAGTTTTTATTTTAATCAAATCAGAATAAACATGACATAATTCTAAATATTGAACAAAGAAAAAGAAGAAAATGGATTATTTTTCCGTTATTGATTTCAATGGATAATCTAAATATTGTAATTTCTATAATAATATGGTTTTCTTCTTTTTTTGTCTTTTATTTGTATGACTATGTCAGGCTTCGAGTTCAATAATCGATGTTTGTATATTAGCTAAATGTTTCTTAAACTTATCAAGTTTAAATAATATCCTCATACTTTAATGGAATTTTTTCTAGATAATTTACAAAAACTTGAAATATAACATACATATGCAATTATTTCAATTGATTCTTTTAAATAATCAAAAGAAACTATTTCTCGATCAAGTTGTTTTATTTAATTCTATACGTTTAATCTTATCATTAGCAATAAGTAATTCAACAGCAGATACTAGACGAAAAAAAGAAAATAATGATATATATTTTTAAAAAATCCACAAACCATTATCTTTGTTCGATATTGTTTTTCGATTGAATTTCAGTTTTACTTCGAATTTCATTAAGTTGTGTTCTAGCCTAATAATAAATAACGATTTTTTCCCACTAAAGCAATCAACGAAAAAAGAAAAATCATACATAAGCATGTGATCATTCGTTTAAACATCCATTGTTAAATTAGCACATGATTCAGTTATTTTAGCACTAAAGAAAAGAATCAAATTACTGCATGTTAAATAAAAGAATTCGATTTTTACATATTTCAATAATTATTATATTATGCTATATTTTTTTTTGTTAATTATAGTATTTTGCTCTTTACATTTGTCAACAATTTGAGAATGCAAACTAAAAGATTTATCTGAATTGGTTTTTTTTCAATAAATAAAATATACTCCTGACATGTCATATAAAATTTAAGAAAAATGAATTTTTATCTTTTTTTTGAAAACTCAAATCGTACAATTAAGACATTGCCTTCCATTCACCCATATTACGATCGAGAATCGGCCGTTTGAATAATAGAAGAAAGGTAATTTTAAAAAGATTTTATATAAGAAAAAGACAAGTGAAAGAAGAAAAACGAATCAAATAATCTTACTACAGTATTCGTTTCAATTGGTACATGCAATTTTTTAATAATCAAATCATTTTGAACTGAAAAGAAAAGAAGAGAAAGAACATTGATCAAAGAAGAAAAACAAAAAATTGTTCGTCGTTCTGGAGATGTATGGTAAGTTTGTTTAATTCGAATATGATAATTTAATTTTCCATTGAATATTTCTAATTCTTTCATTAAATAAAAATTATTTTAGAATAAAGTCAAGATAAAAAGATTGACCTTGTTTATACTTCAATAGTCTATGATCACATTTTCATGAGTCATCAAATCAATGTCCAATGAAGGATCCAGCGATGCACTTAAGATGAAACTCATTTTAAAGTGCTCATATGTGCAGCATGTGAAGTATATATTATTGATAGAGACTATTTATGATGTTAAATTCTTCTGATCAAATATAATCGTGAAACCGAGCTAAAACCATAGAACTGATGTAACGACATCTTTCTTTGTATTTGTTTTCAAGCAAAATTGGTTATACTGTGATTATTTGTTGTTTCGCCTAATTGTTTTTGTTGTTGAATAAATTATTTATATAATGGAGCTCTATCATCTTTGTTAAGTGCTATTAATTTAATAAAAGTTAGTAATTGTTGACCATTCGTGTTATCAACACTTCTTGTTACGCATGAAATTCGAAAAGATGTTGCCATATCAAGAAAAATTCTCTCACCTAAACTTCTGCATAATGTATTAGTTACATCAATTTTAAAAAGAACATTATTCATCTTTTTACGACGAGACGATCGAATAGCTTCAATTAAAGCATTAGCTCTTGAAGATGTTGCAGGAAGAAAACATTGAAATGACATAATATCGGTTTTCCTTCTTTCTGTTCAAGTTGATTGATAAAATTTATTGGTAATTTCGTAACAAAAATAGACGTGTTTATCATTAGATCCTATTGGTGAAGGTTTTATTTTTGTCAAAAGATCATCAAGAAAAACAAACGACTAAATGATAATAATTCTTGATTATGAGAAAGAAGAGTATTGGACATAAGAATATAATATGGAAAGGTACGACGTTGTTTATCGATTATTTGATTATTTCATTGAGATATAAGTCTTGCTTGATCTACAAGAGATTTGTTTGTACTTTTTTGATCTTCACTGTAATTCTTTCATGATTCATAGAAATAAAATGTTAAATTATCAGTTCCATCTGTATGATGATTAAAAATAATATTGTTAGCATTGATTTGTAATTCTATTACATCAAATGTTTCACTTAACTTGGTAAGGTATTTATATCTATAATTGTTGTTGATGAAATAATGATAGTTTCAATAACTGTCAGAGATTCAAATGTTTGTAATGTATTTTCTTCTAGAGTTGTTGTTATTAAAAATACTACTTTATTTTCTTTCGATTGTTGTTCAAGAAATGAAATACAAGATCATAGTTCTTCAAATATTTCGATAGGTTCAGTTGTTGCGTTATGTATTGGTGTAGAAAGTTTTTGTTGTTTATCGAAAGCCACCAAACATACTCTATTACCTTTTCATACCATTCAATTTGACTTGCTTCTCAACTGTTCTTTTTAAAAAAAATTGTTTTTCTTTTCTACTCTTTCATTTTGTTTCACTATAAATGGTAATCATAGGGGTGAGAAGTTATTGTTATTAATAACAATAACAAAAAAAGTTATTGTTATTAATAACAAGAAAATAACAAATAACTTTTTTTTCCGAAAAATCTTAGTTATGCTTTGTTACTATGTAAAAGTATACTAGTTCTATTTGCTCATTATTGTCCGATTGCTAGATGATGTTAATGACCGCAATCTCCATTACATAGCCTATGAAACTCAGAAAAATCCTAAAAAGATCCTTTCAAGTATCTTGCTCATCTACAGACAAAATTTACTAATCGCTTTACGAGGAACGATTCCTCAATGCTCGATCGTCTTTGACTTGATGTTTTGATCGAATATAGGCCTTTGCGAGATGAGAAAATATCTAGAAAGATTATGCACACCATAACTCGAAAAATGGCACCTAGAATCTCATTTCGTAAAGAATTGTATTTGCCCAAAACATCAAGTCAAAGACAATCGAGCATTGAGGAATCGTTCTTGGTAAAGCGATTAGTAAATTTTACCTGTAGGTGAGCAAGATACTTGAAAAGATCTTTTTAGGATTTTTCTCAGTTTCATAGGCTATCTAATGGAGATTGCGGTCAGTAACATCATCGAGCAATTGGACAATAATGAGCAAATAGAACTGGTATACTTTTACATAGTAACAAAGCATAACTAAGATTTTTCGGAAAAAAAAGTTATTTGTTATTTTTTTGTTATTAATAACAATAACTTTTTTTGTTATTTGTTATTGTTATTAATAACAAAAAATAACAATAACTTCTCACCCCTATATTAAACATTAATCATAGATTCGTCCTTTTTTTAATATTGGCATTCAATTTTACAATTTCGTTGTTATATATGTTTTTGATGGAAAACGGACTATTTCACTAACTAGAATCATATTTATCTAATTCTGATAATAAATTAATCGACACTATATACGAACAGAATATGAAAGAATCTATGAATACTCTTTCAGTGCGAATCTAAAATCCCTCTTCGCAGTGACGTGCCCAGGATTTTTGGCTGGGGGCGGGGGGTAAATTCATTTATTCAGCAGAAGTTGTGCTTTTTTCTTATGTGATCCATAAAACAGCGAATGAGGTTTATTAATCTTATTCATTTTCAAATTTATTAATTATTCTATACAATCAACAATTGAGAAACAAAACACAAATACATAAGAGAAAGATTGAAATATTAGTTGCATCGATCTGTAAAGCTTATTCGACGCTTTGATTGAGCGAAATTATCGACAATACTTTCAATGTTTAATTGTTCAGCAATTTTCTTATGAATGCTGATAATAGTCAAGTTGCTGAGTCGATCATCGCCTGTTCGATTGCGCAAATAGTTCTTGATAAGCTTCATGATGGAAAAAGATCGTTCTGCACTGGCCACCGAAACCGGTATGATCGCATACAGTTCGAATAGAATATAATTATTTGGATAAAAGAGTTTGTGAGGTTGTATCATTTTTCATTGTATCATCGGTGGTAGTTGGTCTTTCTGTTTCGGGTAATTTTTGAATCATAAATTTCCGTGTGTCAAATTCAGCTTTATGAATATTCGTGTCATCGGTCTTCAGATCATCTTTATAATAATCGAATAGTGTTGAAACATTGGAGAAATTAGTATTGACAACGAACGACGGAATTAAACTTGAAATAGTCATGGCGATTTTTTGATGTTCGGTGAACCTGCGACCTAGCTCTTGAATTGTTGTATTGATGAAGACTTCATATACCTACAAAAATTGAATGTTGTTAGCAACTACGAATGAATCAGGAACAAATCACTTACGTGTTTAAAATAGCATTTTGTCGTTTTATGGTGACAAGATGCTGTTCGTGATAAATAGATGTCAATCTCGTTAGCTTCGGCAAATGTAACAAATTCGTTGTACAATTCATCTAATTGGTTATTGTCATAAATTAATTCAGCTAAATACGTCGAGATTTGTTCAATACGTTGATAACATTTGATGAGATCGCATGTTGGTTTTCGTAGCTGTTCCACATATGGTTTGGTAATAGAAAAGACACGACTAACGATACCAAGAGGAATTGCAAAATCAATATCACGTAAGGCTTTTACGTATGCTCGTGAAAGACCACTTGTTTCTGAATCACCGTGGTCCACAAAATATTCTAATGCAACGATAATACCCAAAAATAGTTGTTTGAACACAATAATAGAATTATGCTTTTCCACCCAACGTGTGTCACATAAACGAACGAGATGTCGACGTCTTGTTTCGGTTGTAGTTGATTCGATTGCTTGTGCCAACAATTTTTTTCTTTTTGGTGATGAACTAATGAATTTGATTATTGATTTGACTGTACCAAAGAACGATTTGATCAATTGAAGACTACAAGCGTATGCCAATACCAGATCTAACGAATGGTTAGAACAATGAACGTATACAGCACGCGGTACAACATCGCGTATTAGTTTTTGAACGCCACCTAATTGACCAGAAACTACGTTGGCACCGTCATAACCTTGACCTGAAAATACATAAAATTATGAATTTAGTCTATGTATATGTTTTTCATAGAGCATACCTCTAATTTTGTCGACATTAAGACCACATTTTGAATGAATCGCAGAATTGCTGCAGTTATCCCTGGAGCTGTCAAATCTGACAATTGTATGAATCCAAGGAATATCTCCTTAATCGAAACGTCCTTTTCATCGGATAAATATCGAACAAAAATTGATAATTGTTCAGTTCCAGAAATGTCTGTTGTACCGTCAGCGATTATCGCAAAGTATTTTTGTCGTTCGATCAACTCTTTCAATAGATGTTTCATTATTGCTTTCGCACATAGATCAATAAGTTCATTTTGAATCTTTGCGTCTAAATAAGTAGCGTTCTTCCGACAATGTTCTAGATGTTTTTGTAATAACTGATCGCCAGATTCGGCTCTGAATAATATCAATGATTTGAAATTACCTTGACCGTCGTTGTTATGACTTGGCATACCATCATCATCATTTCCTCGAAACGCGATGTTCTGTTTCGACAAGAATAATATACATCTGATAATACTTGCTAATATTAATCGATTTTCATTTTGTTGTTGTGCGTTGAAGCCATCTAATAATTGTAACGGAAAATATATCTAATCGGTGCATATAGGTCATGCGAGGAGAAATGGTGTAAAACGTTTGGACAGCAGCGAAACGTAATTGTTTATTGAATAATAGTAAGGAGAACAAATAACAATAAATATATTGAGTATACACAACAAAAATACACACTAGATTCTGTTCGTATACATATAACTTCTTTTTATGTGCTTCAGGTTCAGANACTGTTTACATGTCCTTCATGAAGAAACTAGCTGTTATACATTTAAGAATCCTTTTATTGCGTGGTAAAATTTTAGAAGAGCTACTTCTACATTGCAAGAGTGAAACAGAGCATTTTTGAATTGTGATGAGTTGATATTTTTTTCTGTTCTCTGCATCACTCATCTATAAACAACATATTTTGAGATAGAGAATATGAAAAGCTACGCAATTTTTATTTATACAGTAGAGAGTTGTTGGATTCATGTGAAACAGATATAACTCTTGTTGATCATAATACGTCGTTGAAAAGGAGAGGGAGAGAGAGAGCAGATTATTTCGGTAAGCTCGATTGCTCATCGAATAGCTTGTGTTTGGGCGTAGACAAACAGCTATAATAAGTATTAATGATTAGCGCTGGATAGAGAGAAAAGGTGAGAGAACATCTCTAAATGTAATGTTTGTATGTAATGTTGGTATACAATCTAATATGTGATGTTTAGAACGTATCAGCCATCAATATAAAAAAGCAAGACGTGAATAGTAAGAATAAAATGGAGGACGGAAAATTAACATATCGAAGATCTATCAATGCTATGCACATCAAACTTTATTTAATTGCATCTCACTTCAAGACAATTGACTGAGAAAAAAAAGACAGAAAAAGAACGAAGATGCATAGGCAAAGAATGAAAGAGGCTTGAATGCTTCAAATAAAGACAAAAGCCATTATAATGCATAAATTCTCATCTTCTACAACGATCGAACAATGTTTTGGCTTAATCGAACTATACATTTTGTAGTAGATGAAATAAAAAAGTCGTCATATTTTTTTTACAAATTCATAGCAATGGTGATACGGTTGACTATAATTCAGATTTAGAGGTCAGATGGAAAACATTGAAAACAAGCACTATATTGTTTTTCTTGCGAATAATAGTCATAGTAGAAGAAAATTTGCTTAGATGATTCTAATGATGAGATTGATTAGCTTTGTTCTTTCATTTATTTAATTCCCATATCACAACAAATCAAATGAATCGGCTTATCTCCTTTTTTATTTATCAAATAGACACATTCAGATAAAAACAAATAAATTCCACTTTTATTTCGGGTTTTCGAAGACATTTATAATATATTTTCTCTATTATAACATACGAAATTGATTGTATCTATGTAAAAGTTATGATTTTAATCAAACTTTGAAGAGCATAGCGATGCTTTAGTTTATTATTATTATTCTTTTTATTGAACGAAACTTCGACATCGTAGAAAATGAAGCCGTTATTATCAATGAAAAACAAAACATGTACATATCGATTTATTCTCTATTCACACATGTAGGTAACACGAGAAGAAAAAGAAAAAGAAAAAGAAGTGAGACAAAAAAAAGAGAAATCAAAACGAAATTAAATAGCGCTTAAAAAAATTAATATTACAACACCAGAAGATAGTTTAACAAGAAAAGATAATCTAACCAAACAGAACAAGATACATACACACATGTGATATCAATAAAAGAAATTTAGTATTGATATCTTTGATATAATGTGTATTAGAGTTGGTGATGACATTTGTTTTGTGCTGAATGAACAAAGTTATCGATCGACTTGTGCACGTACTTTTTCTTGTTCTGTTTCTTTTTCACTTTTTTTTTCTTGCTGTTCTTCTTCATGATGTTAAAAGTGAACAATAGAGAGAAAGAGAGAGCCCATTATAATGATAGGTAGCAAGCAAAATAAAAATCGTATTATTTCGAAGAATGGGGTGACGTGCGTAGCAAGTATTTGATAAAACATAATAATAAGTGACTGACACATGTGCAACTTTTGTCCAATATTAATAAGAAAGAAAAAGACAAAATAAAGACTTACTTCTGTCTTCGTTTGCCTACTCACACATATTACAAGGATCTCAGAAGTTCTGAAATCATTTTAAAGCTCATCATTTTTACATAGAACAAGAGCATACTTTTCGAAAATTTGATAAATTATTCTATCTACTTAGTAGTAAAATAAGTATGAAGTTTAATACTAACCCCCTCTACTATGACAAAGAAACTATAACAACATTATCATGTTTTATTTTATCGTTTATTATATAGCTATATCATGATGAAAATGTATTACAATAAATCACTCAATGGGATAAATAAAAAAAATTGAATTAAATATGAAAGGACGTAAAATAAAATAAATGTATGGGATTTCGTTGTTTTTTTCCTTATAGCATCATCAAATAAGTATCGAACAATTAAATACTATGATGATAAAATAATTTAACTATTTCTTCATTCATATAAAATCAATGAAGATAAAACAAAAAAAAAGGAATTTTTCTTTTTTATCATTCATATGTAAGTTTATATTTAAAGAAACCGAATCAATAATAAGAAGTAAAAAGATTAAAGAAAAAAAGCAAAAATGACGAAAGAAGTATATCGAACTATAGACATAACTAAAAGAGAACATAAAAGGAAAAAACGAGAAATGTATGAATTATAGAGACTACACAGAAAAGTAATTGTACTTATTATGAGACAGTATGTATATTATTTTGTTCATTTTATTATTGACAAAAAATCAATCACGTTTTAGTGTTGTTTATTTGTTAAAATACATACAAGATCGTCATAGTTGCATCTAAATGGAAAGAGAAAAAATAAATGAAATTATGCAAAAAAATGACTTCTAGCTAGTTAGATACAAACTGTTCATCAGTATCAGTATGAGGTTTATGTGTTAATTCATCAACTTCGTCTTCTTCTTCTTCTTCTTCTTCTATAAGTTATTAATTCAATGAAATCATAGGATGCTTCGATTCAGTAACACTAACACAAACAATGCCATATTTATCAAATATATAACATGTTTCATGTATATCATCTTCTATTTCTTTATTATTTGCTTTTAAAATTTTGTACTACTTTAAAAAATGTATCAAAATCAATTCTATGACTAATTTTTTGTTGAATTTCTTGTAAATCAGCTTCTAATAATGATAAAACATATGAACGAGAAATAATACTTAAAATTGATAAAAACTAATTCAATTTTTTTTTATCAAAATAAAACAAACATTTTCATATCGAGTTCTTACGCTGCAATCATATATACCTTATGATCTTTATTAAAAGGTGAAAATGCTTCATGATGTAAACGCATTTTATTGGAACCACTGGATCTTCTTTGAGTTTTTTTTAATCAAATCAAAATAAACATGACATAGTTCTAAATGGTGAATAAAGAAAAAGAAAAGAATGGATTATTTTTACGTTATTGATTTTGATGGATAATCTAAATATTGTAATTTCTATAATAATATGATGTTCTTCTTTTTTTGTCTTTTATTTGTATGACTATGTCGGACTTCGAGTTAAATAATCGATGTTTGTATATTAGCTAAATGTTTCTTAAAATTATCAAGTTTACATAATATCTTCATAATTTAATTGAATTTTTTCTATATAATTTACAAAAATTTGAAATATGATATACATATGCAATTATTTCAATAGATTCTTTTAAATAACCAAAAGAAATTGTTTCTCGATCAAGTTTTTTATTTAATTCCATAAGTTTAATTTTATTATTAGCAATAAGTAATTCAACAGCAGATACTAGACGAAAAAAGAAAATAATGATATGTTATTCTTAAAAATCCACAAACCATTATCTTCGTTCGATATTGCTTTTCAATTGAATTTCAGTTTTAGTTCGAATTTCATCAAATTGTGTTCTAGTCTAATAATAAATAACGTTTTTTCTCACTTAAGCAAATAACGAAAAAAGAAAGATCATACATAACCATGTGATAACTCGCTTGAACATCCATTGTTAAATTAGCACATGATTCAGTTAATTTAGCACTAAAGAAAAGAATCGAATTACTGTATGTTAAATAAAAGAATTCGATTTTTACATATTTCAATGATTATTATATTATGCTATATTTTTTTTTTGTTAATTATAGTATTTTGTTCTTTACATTTGTCAACGATTTGAGAATGCAAACTAAAAGATTTATCTGAATTGTTTTTGTTTCAATAAATAAAATATACTCCTAACATGTCATATAAAATTTAAGAAAAAGGAATTTTCGTCTTTTTTTGAAAATTCAAATCACACAATTGAGACATTGCCGTCCATCCACTCATATTACGATCGAGAACGGACCGTTTGATTAATAGGAGAAAGATAATTTTAAAAAGATTTTATATAAGAAAAAGACAAGCGAAAGAAGAAAAACGAATAAAATAATCTTACTACAGCATTCGTTTCAATTGGTACATGCAATTTTTTATAATCAGATCATTTTGAACTGAAAAGAAAAGAAAAGAAACAACATNGTGTTCTGTTTACTTTACATCTGTTAATTGTGAAAGATCGAAATACTGAAGAAAAATATCTTTTCTACTGGAGAAATCAGTGAAGCATGTATTTGTCTTCACAATACTATGTGAATTACACTCCATCGAAAAAGTCGATACTCGAAAAAATGTTGATTAATCATCCATAACTGATGGAGAGTAATTGTATGAGGAGAGAAAAAAGAAAAGGAATCTAGTATATTGATAGATAACAAATAAAATAAAAATAGTGTTAATTCAAACAATAGCATAAGGTGCGCAACAAGTATGCGATAAAAAAGAACAATAAGTGGCTGACACATGTGCAGCTTCTGTCTAATATTAATGAGAGGGGAAGAAGAGAAAAAGACAAAATAAAGATTTACTTCTCTCTTCGTTTGTCTATCCACACACATATTATGAGAATCTCTAAAGTTCTGAAATCATTTTAAAACTCATCATTCTTATATAAAATAAGAATAAACTTTTTGAAACTTTCATAACATTATATAGCTATATAAATGATGAAAAATGTATTACAATACATCACTAAATGGAACACATTAGAAAAAAAACTAAATATGAAAGAAAGTAAAATAAAATAATAATGTTTTTTCCTTCTAGCATTATCATCAGATAGATATTGAACAATTAAATACAATAATAAATAATTTAACTATTTAATCATTTCTATCAGATCGATGAAGACACAAGAAAAACAATTTTCCTTTTTTTGTTTTTTTTGTCATTCATATGTAAGTTTATATTTATAGAAATTGAAGAAATAATAACAAATAAAGAGATTAAAGAAAAAAAAAACTCAAAATGAAAAAAGAAATATGCTGAATCATAGATATTGCTAAAATAGAATATCGAAGGAAAAAAAAGAGAAATTTATGAATTATAGAGATTACATAGAAAAATTATTGGAATTATTATGAGACATAATATGTATATTATTTTGTTCATTTTATTATTGACAAAAAAAATTGATCATATTTCCACTTTGTTTCTTTGTTAAAATATGTACAAAATCTTCGCATTTGCATCTAAATGAAACTAGAAAAATGAATGAAATTATTCAAAAAAAAAAAAGATTCTAGTTAGTTCGATACAAAATATTCATCAGCATCAATATCAGCTATATGTGTTAATTTATCGACTTCTTCTGTAAGTTATTCATTCAATGAAATTATAGGATGTTTCAATTGAGCAACACTAATATAAATAATACTAGAATTATTTATCAAATATATGAGATGTTTCATATATATCGTCTTTTATATCTTTATTATTTGTTTCTAAAATCTTGTGCTAGTTTAACAAAATGTAAATTTATTATTAATTCATTGTTTTGTCAAAATACAACAAACATTTTCATATTGAGTTCTTAAGCTGCAATCATATATATCTTATAATATTTATTAAAAGATGAAAATGCTTTATGATATAAATCTAAGTTTTTTCTTTCAAGAACAAGAACAAGAACAAGAAAAAGAAAAAAAATGAATTATTTTCCTATTATTGATTTCAATAGATAATCTAAATATTGTAATTTCTATAATAATATGATTTTCTTTTTTTTTGTTTTTGTCTTTTACTTGTATGACTATATTAGACTTCGTGTTTAACAATTGATATTGAAATATTAATCAATTGTTTTTCAAGGTCATCAAGTTTAAATAATATTTTCATAATTAAATTGAATTTTTTCTATATAATTTACAAAAACTTTACATAGGTATGATATACATATGTAATTATTTCAATTGATTCTTTTAAATCACCAAAAGAAATTATTTGTTGATAAAATTCTTTTTTGTTTCATTCAATAAGTTTATTTTCATTATTAACAATAAGTAATTCAACAGCAGATATTAGATTAAACAAAAAAAAGAATATCATAATATGTTATTTTTAAAAATACACAAACCATTATCTGGATTTGATATTATTTTTTCAGTTAATTTCCAGTTTAGTTTGAGTTCGAATTTCATCAACATGCGTTGTTGTCTAATAAAAAATAATGCTTTTTTTCTTTCTCCTGAAGCATTCAAGAAAAAAAACGAAAAACCATACATAAAGATGTGATAATTCGTTCGAACTGCCATTGTTAAATTAGAACGTGATTCAGTTATTTTAATAATAAAGAAAAAAAAACATATTACTGTATGTTAAATAAGAGAATTTGATTTTTACATATTTCAATAATAATTATATTATACTTTATTTACTTTGTTAACTATAGTATTTTATTGTTTACATTTGTCAACAATTTGAAAATATAAACTAAAATAATTTAATAGAAATAATAGATTTATCTGAATTGTTGAGTTTTTAAATAAATAAAATACATTTCTAACATAGAATATAAAGTTGAAGAAAACAATAATTTAGTCTATTTTTTTTCAAAACTCTAATCATAGAAATGAGACATTGTTGTCCATACGTTCATATTATAATTGAGAATCGATCGTTTGATTAATAGAAGAAAGATAATTTCAAAAATATTTTATAAAAGAAAAAGAAAAATGAATAAAATAATCTTACTATAGTGATCGTTTCAATTGCTACATGGGATATTTTTTGATCAGATGATTTTTAAACTAAAAAGAAAAGAAAGAAGAATTGATGAAATAATAAACTATAGTCAAATATCTTGTAAGCAAGATCTTGGTTAAGATACGAAGTACAGAAAAGTGAACAGACCTTGAAAACTTATGTACAACATAATACAATTATTTTGACTTTTCTCATATTTTCCACTGATCGTAAGTATAGATAATTATATCTTAGGTAGTATTAATCAAGATTTCGAAGATTTCAATCCAATGTCTTGATTTTCCATTTTGTGAAAGACGATCTGAAAGGAGTGTTGAAGTGTTTAGGGGTAGAAATTTGGACTCCCCTCCCTCCACAGGCACACCGTGACAGGCATTTATATTAGTTAATTAGTTACTATGTAATTAACTAATTAACCATCACAGATCGTGAGAGACAAGATTCAGGGATCATTATAGACTGTGATAGAGGACTTCAAGGGAGTATCAGATATGATGCAGAACTAACATATGATTGAAGCATGTGTGGAGTATCATTCTGTTGAAAGTATATAATGTAAGGTAAGCCATTATGAAGAAATGTGCATCGCTATACATGGAAAAACAACATCTTTCAGAGAATTAGCTATAGCAAATACATCGTGTTTTACATTTTTTTATCCTGCAAGGGATTGCGCTAACAGCTTTTTATTTCACCCAAAAAAAAAACTTTATCTCAACATTTAAAAAACATCTAAACTTGACTAAGAGATATTATAATGACAGAAAAATCTATTACAATAAAAAGCAATTTAATTGACATAAATAATTCTAGATATTGAAAACCATCTGGGAACGTTCCGGATTTGAAATTTTATATATACGAACGAACATTCAAAAATCTTATATTCGTGCAATATAATCAAATTGTTCATTCAATAAGAATAACCNATTATCTAAATTTTGCAATTTCTATAATAATATGATTTTCTTCTTTTTTTGTCTTTTATTTGTATGACTATGTCGGGCTTCGAGTTAAATAATCGATGTTTGTATATTAGCTAAATGTTTCTTAAAATTATCAAGTTTAAATAATATCTTCATAATTTAATTGAATTTTTTCTATATAATTTACAAAAATTTGAAATATGATATACATATGCAATTATTTCAATAGATTCTTTCAAATAACCAAAAGAAATTGTTTCTCGATCAAGTTTTTTATTTAATTCCATAAGCTTAATTTTATTATTAGAGCATATCCATCTGAAACATACCACTTTTTACACGAAGTTCGGCGCCAGCGGCGGAGCCTAGTGTATTTTGTAGAGAATTTTTTTCTGATTAAAACGTACGGACTGAAAAATCGAGGACTGATGCGCGACTTGAGATAAAGACCGAATACTTTTACGTTGATAGTGGTGCCATCTATCATATTTTCCTGATAAAAATGACTTTTTTATGCTGCCTTAAATAAACTATTCCTGCTTAGGTTCTGTCTATATCGGCATCAACCTAAAACGTATAGTTAACAGCGTCATTCGTGACAAGATCATCTGTGCTATACCTGTCTGTGTTGAAAAAATCAATTTTGAACGAAGGCTATTTTTCTCCTATTTAATTGATTTTTTAGTAATCATGAACAGTAATATTTCTGAAATAATACGTATAGAAATAGTCTTTTCGGAGTGAATTTATAGTTGAATAGAGGAAAAGTATTCAGATCTTCTATGTGATATTTCAAAATGACATATTAAAGTTCATGTGATATATTCACTATGTTTATTGTCCTAACATCTGCATTTATGAAAATAGACAACTTTAATATGCCCTTTTGCAATATTGCACAAGCATCTGATTAATTTTCCTCTATTAAACTATCTATTCACTCCGAAAAAACTATTTCTATACGTATTATTTCAGAAATATTACTGTTCATGATTACTAAATAATCAATTAAATAAGAGAAAAATAGCCCAGGTCGAACTCATTCCATCGGATCCGATTGTTTTTCCGATAGGATCCGACGAGATCCAACTGTCGGATTGTTCGTCCTGGAAGCCTTCGTTCGAAATTGATTTTATCAACACAGGCAGGTATAGCACAGATGATCTTGCCACGAATGAAACGGTTAACTATACGTTTAGGTTGATGCCGATATAGATAGAACCTAAGCAGGAATAGTTCATTTAAGACAGCATCACAAAAGTCATTTTTATCAGGAAAATATGATAGATGGCACCACTATCAGCGTAAAAGTATTTTGCCTTTATCCCAAGTCGCGCACCAGTCCTCGATTTTTTAGTCTGTATGTTTTAATCAGAAAAAAATTCTCTACAAAATACACTAGGTCCCGCCGCTGGCGCCGAACTTCGATGTAAATGTGGTATGTTTCAGATGGATTTGCTCATTAGCAATAAGTAATTCAACAGCAGATACTAGACGAAAAAAGAAAATAATGATATGTTATGTTTAAAAATCCACAAACCATTATCTTCGTTCGATATTGCTTTTCAATTGAATTTCAGTTTCAGTTCGAATTTCATCAAATTGCGTTCTAGCCTAATAATAAATAACGTTTTTTCTCACTTAAGCAATTAACGAAAAAAGAAAGATCATACATAACCATGTGATAATTCGCTTGAACATCCATTGTTAAATTAGCACATGATTCAGTTATTTTAGCACTAAAGAAAAGAATCGAATTACTGTATGTTAAATAAAAGAATTCGATTTTTACATATTTCAATGATTATTATATTATGCTATATTTTTTTTTGTTAATTATAGTATTTTGTTCTTTACATTTGTCAATGATTTGAGAATGCAAACTAAAAGATTTATCTGAATTGTTTTTGTTTCAATAAATAAAATATACTCCTAACATGTCATATAAAATTTAAGAAAAAGGAATTTTCGTCTTTTTTAGAAAATTCAAATCATACAATTGAGACATTGCCGTCCATTCACTCATATTACGATCGAGAACAGACCGTTTGATTAATAGGAGAAAGATAATTTTAAAAAGATTGTATATAAGAAAAAGACAAGCGAAAGAAGAAAAACGAATAAAATAATCTTACTACAGCATTCGTTTCAATTGGTACATGCAATTTTTTATAATCAGATCATTTTGAACTGAAAAGAAAAGAAAAGAAACAACATTGATCAAAGAAGAAAAACAAAAAATTGTACGTTGTTCTAGAGATGTATCATTAGTTTGTTTAATTCGAATATGATAATTTAATTTTCGATTGAATATTTGTAATTTTTTCATTAAATAAAAATTATTTTAAAATAGAGTCAAGATAAAAAGATTGAAATTGTTTATAATTCAATAGTCTATGATTACATTTTCATGATTCATCAAATCAATGTCGAATGAAAGATCCAGTGATGCACTTAAGATGAAATTCATTTTGAAATGCTCATATGTGCAGCATATGAAGTATATGTCATTGATAGAGACTATTTATGATTTAAATTCGTCTGATCAAATATAACCGTGAAACCGAACTAAAACCATAGAGTTGATGTAACGACATCTTTCTTTGTATTTGTTTTCAAGCAAAATTGGTTTTTGTGGTAACCGTTTAAGGGAATCCAACGAGTTAAGGGAAAATATAGATACCATTGTAGAGGCACATGAAGTCGCGCGATGGCACATAGACTTAGCACGAAAAACTAGCCGTCAATAGAGAATAAGTGTTTCCAAAATACAGATTTTTCTTATAAGTTGTGTTTCTATTGCAATTTTTCCAAATTTGAGGCTTGTGATATTAAATTTAAAAGTTCTAGTTCGTTTTGTTTTATTCAAATCTGCACATTAATTGGTATAATTTCTATGCTAAGCATTTCGTGAAAGAAAATATACACTGCGATTTATGTTTAGAAGAATGAATTTCAGTATTCAACTCGTTACATTAGCTAATTTATTTCATTTTACAACATAGCTTTTTAGTAATCGATTGAAGCATTTACATGGGACAAATCAAACCATCTAATTTTAGAAGCGAACCAACAAAACGGCTCTGCCCGACTCGTTTAAGACATTTCATCTTGAACTGATTTATATTATTACATAGAACCATTCGAATAACTGTTTAATGAAGTGTTTCCATCAAAATAAGTGAACGGTCTTATAGGATAACTCAACTTATAGCGTGAAAGAATCCGATCAAAACTGCTCAACACCCATGGCAATTAGACTACACATGTGAGGTTTTTGAAATATTTTCTTTCAATTCAGTATTTTTTCATAAATTTTTGACATAATTTGAAGATTAATTTAACATAGTGAGATGCACTCAGGTTTTTTTTAGTCAATACGAATTTTCCATTATACGATTTCATGTGCCTCTACGATGATGTCAACATTTTCCCTTAACTCATTGTTTCCCTTAAACGGTAACCACAGTTTTTACTATTATGAAAGTACGACTGTTGTGCAGCGCCATTATTTACATGAAACTCATCTTTCGCAGACATAAGATATATAGATGGTGAATATGCCTTCTGTTTTCATAGATTTTTGTCACAATTTGTTTTCTGACTGTTCCATCCGAACTGGGTTTCGCCTTTTGTAGTGCATTCAACATTGATTAGCATTTCTTCCATTACTCTATATCATCAGATCGCGTACTAAAACAAAATAGGACATTGAAGATGCAGACTTTGGTTAACTATGGATATGTTTAACTAAAAAGATGAACAATTCTAATTAACAGATTACACAACGTCTTTGTAAAGTTCATGTTTCTAGTATATGGTAATCTCGAAGATTATTTTCTTACATATTTTATTTTCAAAATACAATAAACATAGGGGTAGTGGAAGTGATGAGCAATTAAAAACAATGCTCAAAACACAATGTTTTCTGACAGTAACTGCAATAGATAAATTCAACCTCATCGCAGCTAGTATTCGAGCAACTATCAGCTTTGAAAGAGAAGAAGATGTTTATTATGTTTGAGAATTTCGAATATTACTATTGAATATAATCACAATTCGACTAATTAAGCAAATGAACTCATTGGTTGGAAAACAGTAGAACTGAGTTGATAATGAACTATAAAATAAAAGACTCCATTGCATGATCGGACAATATTAGAGTGAGTAGTGCTTCAAGATAAGAGCCTATAATGTAGCATTCTCGGATGGTCCTTGGAAACGTGTAGAGCAGACGAAATATTTGAATTCTGTATATTTAACTTCAACATTCAATATCAACAAAAACAAAAACATTCTTTCCGATGGAAAAACAAAACTGTTAGGACATTCTAATGACTCTGAGATCTATCCATGGAAAAAATCCAAGAGGAAAAAAACAACAGATTTTGGCATCCAAAATCTGTAAAATCTTTCAAAATCTTTAGAGTGAAGGATTTGAAATAAGCAATGAGACCAGTAAATTCGATGATGGAATTTCTGCTGGATTTGTTGGATTTGATGATAATGGTGCAAATAATGAAAATGGAAAATTTTCATGATGAGCAGGAAATAAATTAGCATCAGATATAGGTATATGTGAAAATTGACGAATCATTGGTGATGATACTGATGGTGGTGGTGGTGATTCAGTTTAGATGTTGATGAACGTTTATGACTTGTTCAAATTTTTGATAATGTGGGTCGCACAAGAATAGATACGACAGAAGTAGTCGATGAAATTGATGTGGTTGTTGTTAAAATATTTGCTGATATTGTTGTAGCTGTTGTTAGCGTTTTCAATACTGATGTCGAACGACGATGTGGATCAAATAGATTTAATGCTTTACTTGTTGTTATCATAACAGTTGTTGATCTTAAACAAAGTGTTTTCATACAGTATTTTGCAAAAATAATTCATCACTCTTTCTTCTCATGCTATTCTGCTATAAAATTACGTTCGATAGCCGTTAATAGTTTTAGGTAAAAGTATATATATATTTGTCTGTTAGGAACGTATGATAGAGATCTGAAACGTCGTTCTATCAAATTGAGTAATGGCTTCACTTTTGACGATGTGAAAAATGAGTGTACCAAAACTCATTACAATTTGAAGAGCTGACAAGCTGCTTGAAAGTCGAAATCAATAATCAATTATTAAACGGTGATAACTGAAGCTTTCCGATAATGATCTTAAAGATATGTTACCTTTTAGGCAAAGAAAGAAAAAATATATGACCATGATAAAGGAAAAATTACACGTTAGAAAAAAACAACAAGATCAGCGACACAATCAATCGAAATTTACAACATAGATCAACGTAAAAGTATCGACGAAATTTATAAAATGTAGACATCGAAAGAGTATAGAATGCCCAATGTTTTGGTATTAGAACTTCTGGCACGCTTGTGTTATTTGAATAGAAAAACCGTTTTGAGTATTTTAGAAAATATCGTAATCTTCGTTGTCAGTAATCGTTGCGCTGATGCTGTTGTTTTTCTCCAATGCATAATTATTCCTTTATCATGGTCATATATGTTTTTGGGTGTGGGTGTGGATGTTGGTCTTCTCTTAACCCACCCACACCCACACCCTCCACATCCATCCTAGTGTTAGACCTATAGATGAGCCGTTAGGCCACAAATAGTGTTATTTTATGTTCATCACTACTTTTTTTTCACACGACACATAAGCGAACCTCATTTTCTCGTATTCTTAGACACTGTCAGATGGCACCGTATTAGTAACATATAGTTCAACCTGGACAGTTTTGAAGTTAGAAATTTAAAGAAATATGAAAAATGTGAATTCTCTAGATCAACATTGCTGGTTATTCTGCAATAATAATAACGAATCATTTTGGAAGAAAGAAAAATTTCAATAAGAACAATAGAATGATAAATAAATCATATTAATGTAAGTGTAGCTGACTTTAAGTTTATAAATAGGAATTTTCGACTTGTTAATGTCCTATGCTATATATCGATGTTTATGGATACATTGATGTTATAGATTGCAACTGATTTCTTTAATTAACATCATTTTCTTGTTAGTGTTGTAGTTTGATCTTCTTGCTGTTAATGTTTGTTTTCCAATAAACAGTCAGACTAAGATCACAAATAATGTCTTTAAAAGGTAATGATGCTCGTAATGAATAAAAATAAGGAGAAAATTTTGATTTCTGCAATAAAATTCAACTTCATTATTATGATTTATTTGTTTATTGTTATATTGTTTCATTCATTTTTTTTTCTTTCAAAATGACGTGTCATTGCCTGTGAAGAATTATACACTTGAAAATTTAATTTTCGTCTGATGCCATTCATATCTACCTTAGTCAATATTATTTTCATCGAGGTGTATGTTTATAAATTAGTTTATGTTGTGCTTGTCCAATTTCTATTTGTTATAGTTTGTTTTCATATAAACAGTGAGACTAAAGTCGCAAGTGATATCTTTAAAGGCTAATAATGACCATACTAAATTAATATAAAATCAAAATTTCATATTTGTAAAGAATTATACTAAACTAAAAAATGATCATATATTTCTGTGATGTAATATTATAAGCAACTCTTCGTTATAGTATATTGTGTTTTGTTTTTTTCTAAATTTTAGAGACATTTCATAGACTTCCATTTAGAAAATCTATTGCCAACTTTTTATTTTTTATTCAAATATATTTTTTCTGTTTTTAATTATTAATCTGATAATAAAGAACAATAAATTTCAATACAACGGAGAAGCAAATATTTTCTTGATTATCTAATTGAAATGCGTAGAAATCTATTTTATTTTATTTTATTTCCAATCGATGTTAATAAACAATGATATCAATGAACATATTATCATATTAAACTGAACTCTACTATTACAAAACATCACCTATTCAAAAATAATTCAATGATCTTGATTATTTTTCAAATATCTACAACCCAAAAGAATAATTCGTTAGATTTTTGATGAAAAGAAAATATTGAAAAACATATTTTTTAGATTAGTTGCAGAGATTCTTTTTACTGTACCTTATTATAAACATATTTAATTGTGTCTTTTATTAAGAAAAAAAAAATCTTTCAGTTGTCCTTCGATTTAGTTGCTGTTTTTTCTGATGTACAATCAAAATACAAAATTAGACATATTCGTATACGGTACAAAATTGATTATATTTATCTAATAAAGTTAATAATTATAACTGGAGAATGAAAAGAAAACAACCCTTCAAAGTATTGTTATTAAACAATAGTAATCCAGGTATTATACGCAATACAACACATATCATCTAATTCAATTGAGTATATGAATTTTCTGCCAAGTGCTTAATAAGATGATGAAAAAACAATCGAAAAAAAAATGTACACAATAGTTTTTGTGCTTGTTGTTTAAAGGTGAAATGAAGTTTGTTAAAATGAACTAAAAGATTGTCAAACCAAATAACAATATTGTCATCAGGTTGACATAGATATGTTTTTTTCTCGAATAACAAAAACGTTGCTTATACATACTGTCTGACATAATAAAAAACAATGTACACTGATCTTTGTTCGAAGCTTATCATATACTAAAAAATAATATTAACAAAAATCGTTATATGTATTGCCTTTCCCTGAATAATTTCATTTTCTATTGTTTATTTTTTGAACTAAATTAAGAAGAAAATGAAAAAAAGAAATTAAAAGAAAAGAAAAAAAACAATAGTGCTATATAAGAAGCATCAAAAATTTTGTTTTAAATCATATTGTAATCTTTTCATCCAAAATGAATCAATGAAAAAAGCCATACATTCAGTTAAAATTGGTTTGATTCAACGAATATCTGCATCTGCACATCCAAATGATTATGAATTAACTTCTGATATTGAACCCAGTTCAATTCATCAGTCAACTAGAAAACAGGTTTGTTAGTTTGCGAAAATATATAGCATACTGAATGTAACAATGAGAGGCATTTATAGAAAAAAAATCATTCGTCAAAATCCTTTATTACACAAGTGCCTTTCTATACACAAGAAATCAAATTCTGATTGCATTAGTATTCATAGAATACTTCATGGATGTTTCATAACTTTCGACTCCATTTCTATTTTTATTTTTATTTGTCTTGCAACTGTATTTCAAGATGCATAGATTTTAAATAGATACATTTGAAGAATAGCACATTCGTTGTTATGTAAGAGAAATTTGATTTAATATGTATCGATTGAAAGAACAGTACCATATTTGTAAAATATAAAAAAAACTTGATCAAAGTTAGGTTTACCGCGCGGCAGAACATTACAGAATTTCATTTTTTCATCTATAATGAGCCAAATCTTTTTGGAAAACAAAAAAATATTCTGAAATTTTTGTTATAGATAGATACCAATAAGGGCTAATCTCTTTAAAGACTGATTAAATCGTGATCACAGTTCAATATTACTCTATTGGTGATCGACCTATGGCATTTAAGGATTAAAGTTTACACACTTTTCTGCCTGTTTACAGACTTCTTTATATTATTGTACTGGACATCGATTTTTTTTCTAAAAGCTTTATTCCATATTAATGTTGTTTTAGGCTCTTGGGAGACGAATTAGTAAAAGTGCTATTTCTCAACTTGAAGTTAATCAAAAGAAACACATTTCAACACTTGAAACACATAAAGATGTTCGTCTAAATTATATTGCAGAAACATGTAATGAAAATCAACATCATTCAAAAGTAAGTTAAATACATATTACATTTGCAGTAATTTTTTGAAAATATAATTAATACCTAATCATTTATCTTTCTTAGATTTCTAGCTCATCGTCGCCTCCATTATCTCCTCATCTTCAAAAAAATATAAAACCGACTCAAGAACAATCAGTAATTACAAGCAATCTTCATCAAATACCTACTACATCAAAGTAACATTGTTTTCTTCTATGCGCTAATCGTATTTATTTATTTTATAGATGGTCAACAAGGAAGAAAGTTTTAGTAGGTATTTCAACATTTTTGACAATCGCTACTCTTATTACAGTTGCCACTGTTCTTGCTGTTTTACTCACGAAATCCAAAGGTAAATTCATTTGAAATAATATTGAACTCCTTCTCAACGTTAAACTCTGTCTTAATTGTCTATAATTATTCATGAGATGAAAATATTGGTATAATCTTTACTATTCGAAGAGCATTATATAACTTTTTAAAAAAGGCAGAGAAAACTTTTTTATAATGGCAAGTGTATTCAATGACTCATTGATCTTTTTCCGTATTTTTTTATAGAAACAAGTACAACAACTACTACTGCATCCACTGTGAATGTTTCTGCATATTGGAGTTTCGATAATACACTGGTCGATTCATATGGTATTTATAACGGTCAACCAATAAATAGTCCAACATATGCTTCTTCGACTAATCTGCCATATGTAGGACACGGTCAAGCACTTTACTTTAATTCAGCATCGAATCAATCAGTTCTGGTTTCAACTCCTTATTTTAATTTAAGTTATACAAGTTTTACTATTGAAGCTTGGATTTATCCTAGTTCGCTTACAAATGATCGCGGGATATTTGGTCAATGTCAATGTTCAACCTGTTCCAATCAATGTTTGTTTTTTATTATTCGAAATAATCGCTTGTACACCCAGGTCGAAAAGTACGGGCCGGTTCCGGCAGGAAAACACCGGAAGTCGCCGGAACTGGGTGCCAGTATTCCGGCCGGAAATTCTCCGTATTTTTTCCGGTGACTTTCCGCCAACTTCCTGCAGGAAACGGGAGGAAGTTGACCGGAAGTCACCGGAAAAAATACGGAGAATTTCCGGCCGGAATACTGCCACNATTTAATTCCATAAGCTTAATTTTATTATTAGCAATAAGTAATTCAACAGCAGATACTAGACGAAAAAGGAAAATAATGATATGTTTTTGTTTAAAATCCACAAACCATTATCTTCGTTCGATATTGCTTTTCAATTGAACTTCAGTTTTAGTTCGAATTTCATCAAATTGCGTTCTAGCGTAATAATAAATAACGTTTTTTTCTCACTTAAGCAATTAACGAAAAAAGAAAGATCATACATATTTCAATGATTATTATATTATGCTATATTTTTTTTTTGTTAATTATAGTATTTTGTTCTTTACATTTGTCAACAATTTGAGAATGTAAACTAAAAGATTTATCTGAATTATTTTTTTTCAATAAATAAAATATACTCCTAACATGTCATATAAAATTTAAGAAAAAGGAATTTTCATCTTTTTTTTGAATATTCAAATCATACAATTGAGACATTGCCGTCCATTCACTCATATTACGATCGACAATCGATCGTTTGATTAATAGAAAAAAGATAATTTTAAAAAGATTTTATATAAGAAAAAGAGAAGTAAAAGTAGAAAAACGAATAAAATAATCTTACTACGGTATTTGATTCAATGGGCACATGCAATTTTTTTTAATCAGATCATTTTGAACTGAAAAGAAAAGAAAGAACATTGATCAAAGAAGAAAAACAAAAAATTGTACGTTGTTCTAGAGATGTATGATAAGTTTGTTTATTCCGAATATTTGTAGTTCTTTCATTAAATAAAAATTATTGTAAAATAGAGTCAAGATAAAAAGATTTACCCTGCTAATAATTCAATAGTCTATGATCACATTTTCATGAGTCATCAAATCAATGTCCAATGAAAGATCCAGTGATGCACTTAAGATGAAACTCATTTTGAAATGCTCATATGTGCATCATATGAAATATATATCATTGATAGAGACTATTTATGATGTTAGATTCTTCTGATTAAATATAATCGTGAAACCGAACCAAAACCATAGAGTTGATGTAACGACATCTTTCTTTGTATTCCCTAGTCAATGCGTACGGTCTATATACGTATTACACGACACTTATCATGCTTCATACGTGTGGTGGCATGTATCATCACATGTGCTAAGTGTAGCCAGCGTGTTTCTTTGTGATTCATCACGCATACGACAGAGGTCGTGGCATCTTTTAGGAAAAGAAAGAAGAATGGAGAACACCAATGGCTTCTTACAAAGGATGATATCATATGATATCCTGCACGGTCATTTGTTTGTTTTTATGATTACAAAGACTTGTCTGTTCTAGTAATTGTTCATACTGTGTTAAAATAAGTAAGTGTTGATTTATGTATCGATAAGTATTCTTGATTGTGACTATGCCTAGATTTTTTTGCACTTATTTTTTGTTTTACATCAAATTATCAAATGGAGAGAAATCTATTTGGTATCCAATGTAAATATCGATATGAACAACAATTAGTTCGTCGTGAGTATTTAAAGAAGTTGATCATCAAGATATCTCTATTCTTCTTTCTTTAGAATGTCAACACACCAAACAAAGACAAAGAAAAGTATCGCCGTGGTCTTTATAGTTCACTTTCGTCAGTGCATCAACAACAATTTGATTCATTGAAACCTGATAGTCAACAAAAGAATTTAAATTTAATAAGTGTGCAAGAAGGTGAAACATTTATTGAAGATGATGATGTTGTTATTGATGAAGGTAATATTTGCTGTTATCTTGAGATGTTGATAGAGATAACTAAAGGCTACAGTCAGGTATTATAAGATAGATTGAAAATTATTTGTCTTTTTTTGTGATAGATTTCGACAATGAAATTCAGATGATGCAGATGGATGATCCAGATGCACATGAAGAAGTTTATCCATTATCTAGATATTCACCTGAAACTCAACTAAAAATGAAAATAGTTCTGTTTATTCGACATGCGAATATAAATAAAACAAAAAGCAGTGCTTTACTTAATCTAATTCGAGGAATATCCGCGATGTAAAATGCTAAATAGTAGATATTGTTCAATTCGAATACATGAACTGTGTCTGTATTATTTTGTTACTAAATTTTTTTTTTATTTTTTTTCAGAGAAATTCCAAATAATTGTGATAGACTTTGGAATGATTTAAATGTGAAATTTTCATATAAAACAATAATCTACTGTTCATCATGTTTTAAAAAATTACAACATATTAAACAAAGATGTTTCAATGATGAATATCAAAATCAAATGCACAAAATTAATTCAGAATTAATATTATTTGATGTTGCTGATGAAATTCATTCAATTGCTATTAAAAATTATCATCTTATAAAATAGTATCAAGAAAATCCTGAAAATAGTTCACCATGGGGCATTTTATTTGGTAATTATAATCTTCTCTAATATAGTATTAACAAACTATTTTTTGATTTATATTCGTACAGAGAATTTTTATCGAACTAAATCCTCGAAAAATCGTTTAAGTTTAATATTATCGACAGATGGTAAACCATTAACTATATCAACTAATTCCTCTATTTGGCCTGTGAGTAACAGTATTCTTTTCTTAAGTTGATAGCTATTGTGCAATTATAATTTCTGTTTTATTTCATTTTTGTTTTTTTAATTATGCTTTTTTGTAGGTGGTGGCTGTTCTAGCAGAAATACCTCATCCTGTGAGAGATTATGATAAAAATATGATGTTGTTTGGTTTATGGCATTCGACGATTACACCAGATCTTGATCGTCTATTATCATGTATTGTTCATAATCTTATGGTTTTACAAAGTGGTGGTTTATTAATTGACATTGGTGGTGAAGGTAATTGAGGTTTTAATTTAAAAAAAAATAGACAATAAGTATGACAAGAGTTTTATGAGTCTAAAGTGTTCAGCAAATCTTCTTTTCTGTTTTTATTGTCCTCATCTAGTTTTCTTGGAACTTCTTCTGTTAAGGTTTGACACAATTTGAAGTTGATGTTTTAATTATTGGTGGTGATCTCCCTGCAGACGCAAAATGTAATAAAATTACAGCACACAATGGCTATTTCGCATACACATATTGCTTATTCACTGAAGCTTCCCGTAGAAAACACAAACACATATTGTATCCTCATAAAGATTATACAGAAACCTGTCAACCACGCACTCAACAATACCGGAGCCATTGTGTTGCACAAATAGAAAGTTCAAAAACAAAAAATTTTAAAATTTGCTGAGTCTATGGACGCTCACCACTACCATCATTATTTCAATTCCTGTTCAATCGATCCTAGATTATTTTCATCTAACTTTGGAAAGTCATCTAGTATTCTTACTAAATCAATGGAAAACAATTTTTCCTAAACCAGTACATACGCAAATGAATCGGTTTTTACTTAGCATCAAATATTCTCACACTATAAAACAACATCCTGTTGATATAGAATCTACTGGCTAATGGAAAGCAACACAACTACGTGTTTTCCTCTTATGTATTGCTTTACCTTTTGCTGTTCATTATTATATACCACGACCACATCGTCGTCAACCACCTGCACAAAT